GGGTGTGGGTGTGGGTGTGGGTGTGGGTGTGGGTGGGTGTGGGTGGGTGTGGGTGTGGGTGGGTGTGGGTGTGGAAAACAACATCACACCCTACACCCCACACCAACACCCACTCACACCCCACACCTTCACACCCACACCCCACACCCACCAACACCCACTACCCACACCCACTCACACCCCACACCCACTCACACTCCACACCTTCACACCCACACCCACACCCACCCTTCCTATTCATCCATTCCTTATCATCACATATTTTTCGTTACACCACCCTCCAGGACCACACACTACACTCACCGACACCCACACCCGCCCCCATACCAACACCCTTTTTTGATACTCCACAAAATGCATTTACTATCAGCTTTTTCAGCAGCAGTGAAACGCGTTAATGCTGACTGATTCAACGCGTTTCGCAGTTTCTAAAAAGAACGCTATGAAACGCGCTTTTATTAACAGTGTTTTGCATCTCTAATTTAAACAGTATCGAAACGCAGCAAAGTGGTCAGTATTAACACGTTCCGAAACGCATATTTTCAACAAAATTTTATTCCATGGGTTCTATATATTTGAGAAGTATAGAGGTCCGCGTTTCCTCTTGGTTTTTCTCATCCGACTTACTATCTTTCAAAGTAGCAATAGTAGAAGAAGATATGAAAGTGTTATCCTTAATCCTGGTCTACATATGTAAGTATCATTATAAATATTGTTTGATACTAGCATTCATACTTATTCGACGCTTCCGCTATCGAACAGCATAAACACTGTCTATGTCTGAAAATTATATGAGTGCACGATGTACTTGATTTATTCTTAAAGACCCTTGAAACATATTAAGTTATGATAGTCTTTGGGTTATGTTAATGATGATGTAAATCCTCAATGCATAAGATATTATTCAGGTTTTATTGTTACGCCGAGGCAAAGGTCGCCGTATCGTTGAATAATTCCCGCTTGACAAAGCAGACAATCGTTGCAAAAGCTCTGGAAGCCTTTCCGGAATTTCTTCTATCGATATACCCTTCCATCTCATATAGGGAATGCCACTGATTGCTAGGCCCAGCCAACTTGACGGTTGCCAGTCCGCTTTAGTCATGATTGGAATGATCGGCTTCTTTTGGTTTTTCGCGTAAGTCAGTTCGTCACGGCAATTTCTGGAGTTTTGATATTCAGCTGTTGGAAAGCAAATAAACACCCAAGAGTTTTCAACACCAGCAGCCATGCTGTAAAAAAGAAACGTTTAGTCCTGTCATGGTGGAAGGTGGGTGGGTGGATGTAGGCGTCAGTGCGGATGTGGATGTAGATGAAGTCTTCTGTTGAAATACATCCACACCCTCACACTGGCACCACCCCATACCCACAACCACCCATCCACACCAACCCATATTCAGCCACACCCATATTCATACCCACCCACTCACACCCATATCCATACTCACCCACACCCATGCCCAAACCGCATTGAGCAACGATGAAAATTTCAGAAATAGTGGAGCTATGTGCCCTAATGAAAGCTCACCACAGGGCAGGGTGTAGGAATTCCTTATTTTTGCCTCAGGGAACCCCAAAGTTGAGAAAAATTCGAAAGTAAGTCCTGAAGATACCTTTGTCGTCTGAGCCAGCAACAAGCTACAGATCTGAGGATTTCATCGTTGAATAAGGAACAGCTTGGAAATACTAAACCACTAATAAAAGTTGAGGATTCGCCTTACCTTAGTAGAGATATTTGAGCACCAAAAACATCACAACCTGATATTTTTCCATAACGAGTTTTTAAAACTCAGAACAAAAGGGAAAAACACATCTGCTATAAAAAATGGTCACCTCAATGGCTAGTATCTATGATAAAATTTCAAGACTTGTATCATTTAAAAGAAAGCGATTAGCTGAGAGTTAATTTGGCTGGGTGATCTCATCCCACTCGGCTATTTGGATCCCTTTACATGGGTTTTAGATTTTTTTTAACTCACCGCTATGCTTACAGGTCTAAGTACTAGCAGCTCAGAAAATTTCAGTCTATTTCGAGATAATCAATGTAGAGTCTGATACGCTTTCGAAAGAACGACTCCTGAGCTTTTTTCAGTACCCAAGTTTCTCAGAGATATTTTCTGATCTTTTGCTCATCGTGTATTGTGCAGAGTAAACCCACACGTCTCTGTCTTTGAGCTATCCCGTTTAAGTTCATTGTGATGTTTTATGAACTCTTTAATACCTGCCCCAGTCTAATGAAGTTCGATGAGATCTCGTAACGCTTTTGAAGTCATCTGATGCCTTATGAATCTTCAGAAGTCTTTTGAAGTGTTTAAACTTGCTGCTCTCTTTCTCTGATCTCTGATGTCCAAGAGGTTCAGAAATCTAGTAGATGCATTTTTGCCACGATGGCAACTGGAACTTCTCCCAAAGCCTAGCAGCGACGATTCATCCGATCAGTTCACACTTCTACCTGTAAGAGATTTTAAGTTAGATAGAACGGCAGTTCCGAAGTACCCTTAGCCATCAGTAGATTACTGTGCTTAGGATATCAATCATATGAGCGTACCGTTAAACTACATAGGAACTTTAGGGTGATCTCTACAGCAGAAGAGTTTAGAGGCATAAATGCAATAATTCGAAATTATTTCAAAGAACGTTTCAAAATATTCATGCGGATTTACCTCTCATAAGTGAATGAAAGTTTATATTTAACGTTGGGGAACAGCCTTCCGGATGAACTTCATAAGTATGGGTATGTAATCTATTGCCTCTTAAAAAGAAGTCAAAGACTGTTTTTTGACTTATTCTTTTGCCATGAGTTGGGAGTAACACTTTTTTCTAATTATCAAGAATTTTAAATTGCTTTAGTTTCTGATTGAATTAGGTTTTCTTGAAGTAAATTCCATATAGTTTTTAGCATGAGTCGTACGTGGATAAATGTTGCTAAAAAAATAGGAAGTGGCTATGTGCACTCGAGTGTACATAGCCGACTGGCTATGTACACTCAAGTGCACATAGTCGACTGGCTATGTACACTCGAGTGCACATAGCCGACTGGCTATGTACACTTGAGTACACATAGCCAGTCGGCTATGTACACTCAGGTAGGTATTATCAAAATATTACTAAATATTGAGTTATATTATAGCCATATATGTTCTTTATAATTATTATAATTAAAATTTATCAATTGATTAACAATTTTGCTCTATTTATTCTTTATTAAATTCAAATAAAATACAAAGCAAGTGTTAGAATCAAACTAAT